AAATTTTTTGTTTCGAAGAGTTCACTGTGATGTGCAAGCAAACAGCCATCAGTGGGGCACGCATGTTCCTCGACAGTTTTAATTCGTTCGCTGGGATTTTTTTTTTTGGCTGGAAACTGAATTAGCAAAAAAATATTGCACTGACACTCTGTTTGAATATCTCATCCAAAAAAGTTTTTGGCGTACTTGCAACCATTTCTTTAATGGCTACTTCCTTTTTGTACTTTCGTAACATTAAATTTCCCCCTTTTAAATCGCGAAGGGTAAGATAATAGCTGCATATTGCTTTTTCCTCTCTCTAGGTGCTGAATTATGATCGAGTATTTCCTTGCGAAAAAACAAGAAAAAGTTTCTTTAACTAAGCAAAATACACAGACACAAACCCACTATCTTCTGCACGAATTACTAAACTTTTTCGGTAGTCTTGATTCATTGCTGTACACGTCAGGCTTAGCTTTCAGCCGTTCAACGCTACGGAGGACAAGTAAATCATTGGTGAACTGCAATTCTACGGCGCGCGACAGCTCGGTCACATTAATGCTTCTTGCTATTGTCGCAATGTTTCTAACTTGCAACGGTTCGTTTTCCTGAAACACTGAAATTTGCCATTTATCCGCACCTGAATTGTAAAACACTGCCAGCCTGTGCATCTCCTGGGCACAACTTTATTCATTTTACATTTTTGGGAGGAGAAGGTGCATCGAGTACGAACGCGGGGGGCGTCTTGTGCCACGCAAACAAATGACAAACCAGTATTTTAGCTTATGCGCCGCATGCTAAGCTTAATCGTCTTTATAGTGCTTTTTATGTCTTATTCGTGTAATAACAAGAATGTATTCGTTACCGTTTTTTCAAGTGTATTCATTTTTCCATCTAAATTAAGTATCAGTTGTGGATAAAATATCAGTACACAAATTTCTTGAAATTTCCCAAACTGAACCAAAGCTTATTTAAATCAGTTTGCAGGCTTGGCATTCTGCAACAACATCATCGAAATACTGATATTTGTGGATAAAATTGATAGTAGGGAAAGTGAGAGCGCATTCGAGAGCAGCGTCGAGATTGCGAACATTCTTGTGTCGCTGAATTCGTCGACATCAATTCTCGTCTACCTCATTTTCAGTTCCAAATATCGCACTATCATCAAGGAATATCTCGGCCTTAAAAAAGCCCAAAAAGTAATTCCTTTTCTTTTTAAATTAGCTTAAAAAACAATGCAGGCAAACCATAATACCTGTGCTGGTGTACCGTCACTAAAATATACGGAAATGAAAGATCGGGCTATAAAAAAGGATGGTAAGAAAGTTTGGAAATATCACTCTACCATTTTAAAGTGAATTTTTTTCTAAATCTCTTATTACAGGGTTATGGAATTGCACTGACTGCAGCAATTGCAGCTCGACAAACGTTCGAATTTCCATTCATCACACAGAATAGCAAGAAAACGCGTAAAGGACGACTATCGAATTCAGCGGCAGCCCGAGTCTCTGCAGCACTGCATCTTCCGCCTTCAGTTCGAAGCAATTTACACAAAACGCTTTCTGCTCGGTGACCTTATGTGCAGCTATGCGGGTAAATAACTCTCACTTCGCTTTGCTGGATTGTTACTTCTATGAAAGGACATCACTTTCGTTCTACTTGGATACAAGGGCTCCGTTCCGGACTATTCTTAACAGTTTGATTAATTTCAGGCAGTAAAAAGCAATAGTCACCCACTCCCTTC